TATATATATATATATATATATACCCACACACACAGACACACTATGTAAAAGTAAAGGTTATTTTAAAACATATTTAAAGATATTTTACCAGTTTTGTGACCTAACTTTAAGTGAGAACTATTTATGGTTAATAAATTGTTTAATAAGCATTATCTAACTCTTTACATATGAGCTCATTAAGCAATAATATTTTGGTTAATTACAGTGGCAATAAATAAAGAACTCACTATATGTATAGAGTCTATTAATGTATTAACTACAGTTTATAAACTATGAATTAACTATAAACTATTATATAAACTATAACAGTGTGCAAATGATTTGTAAGTACTTCATTAGTGTATACTTATTATAAAGTGTTACCTATGTTTTATCGGTTTACTTGCATTGAAGTACTAACTGACTTATTTATTTATTTACTAACTGTCATCAGAGAGTCATGCGAATGTGCCATTAAATTACTGAAATATTAAGTTACTAGTACTTAGTACTTCATAAATATTTTATGTTTGAGGGGTTCAGCTGACAAAAAAGTCTGGGAAGCCATGATGTAATGACATCAAACCTGGTGCACATATTTAGATGCTCCATAATTTAATCTGCAATTTGAGGAAGATTTCAAAAAAATAAAAACTTAAATTTGGGTCTGTTCCGTGCATAATTGTACTCATATGGCTTCAAAAGACTTGAAATATTGTGTACAAGATGTCTGGACTATGTTTATGTTACTTCGGAGCTTCCAGCAGCCTCACTTTCAATGTATGGAAAAGAGCAGCATGAACATTCTGCTAAATATCTTCTTTTTGCTTCCACATAAGAAAGAAATCCATCCAGACCTAGAAGTGTGAGAGGATGACCGAATTTGGGTGAACTATTCCTTTCATAATCCCCTAAACATTTTCAGCTGTGTGTGTTACTGAATTCTTTCATCCATCATAAATCATAAAGAAAACAGCTGCAAAACTGTGGTTTCTGTGCAGTACCTGTAATACTCTAGAACTGGTTGTGTCTGTCTCTCGTAGTCCTTGAGTCGCCTGGACACAGTTTCGGGACTGTCATCGTCTCTCTGGGCCAGCGGTTCTCCTGTGACATCATCGAGACCCTGTGCACAACAGGATTGATTATACAGACCACTGATTATAAGCGTAAGGTATAAGCACCACAAACACCTGATTTCACTCACACGCTAAAACTTTCAAATGTGCAATAATCATCCAATTAAAGCCACTGTATCTTAGGAATTCCTGTATTGAAAGCATCATCAATCTTCGGCAGACGCTGATAAATCCCAGAGCTAAACAGAGGTGACCTTCAGGCGCAGAGTTTAGTGTTGACATAAGCTTTGGAGCTGTATTTGAGCAACACTGACGAGCACGGTTTCACACTGGGCTAGTAGTGCTGTATTAGTTTAACACACACAACTGCTATCTTGAGGCTCATTATTTAAAATTATTGTAAAGATGACCAAACTAAAAAACCTACTTTTGCAAACTCACAGGCTTTGTGGCAGTAGACAAAAGAAAATCTTTTATAACATCTTGAATATAAACGCCTTTCCACTCATTCTTTGTTCAGTTTTACTTTCTATAAGGCTCTCTATTCTTAGTATTATATAGGCTCTATAAGGTTCTATAAGGCTCTTTGTATTATATATAAAGTACCTGAACGTTTTAAAGTAGACACATTACAATCTGTACTTGCAGATAATATTAACGAAATAAAAATCTTCATAAGTGTACTTAGAGTGTTTCTTTAAAGTGTGAAAAATGACTTTCTTCACACACTAATAATATCAAATTACAAGTTTTATTTTGATGTACATTTTAGATTATTATGTTTTAATTTTTTGTTGTTGTTGTTCTTCAAAAAAGTACATTTATTGTGATGTGTTGGCTAACACACCAAATCACATTTCAAGTACTTGATTCATAATTTAACTGTTGTCTGTTATTTGATAGTACATGTGAAGTTAATACATTTTAAACGTAGGAAATTGCAACTTGTTTAACGACATTAAAGTATATTTTAGTTTTCCATAAATGCTCGTCAGTGCATTCAGCAGTACACTTTAACCATATTTCAAAGACAATACAAGTAATTAGCATATAAAGATGTACTTAAGTTCATTTTAAGTTTGATTAACCTGCAATTAAGTGTCCGAAAACATTATATTCTTCACAAAAGAAGTTCACGCTTAAGAATATTCTTTCAAAGTATATTAATTTCATAACAAATGCTCTTTTTTAAAAGAAGCGTCCATCTTTTTCGCATTTTTTAGGCATTCTGGGTGAATTCAGTTCATTTCAGCACAAAAACCAGTAACTAATAACTAAACAATAACTACCTAAACGATCCAGTTTAACCAGGCCACGGTCAATGTTAGTCTTTTTAGTGCAAACACACCTCCTTTATGCAAATTAGGCTAAATATATATTATGCCTTATTCACAAAACTCAACACTATTTACCTGATGCTATTAACATTGCACTATTATTACATGCAGAACACAGGTATTTTGAATTTTGTATGTTTTCTTGGAAAATGAATTTTCACAGTTTTTGCACTGAAGCGTTTTCATATGAACAGGAGTGTTCAGCTTCCTGTTTCTATTGTTTAATTATCAACCGTTTCCTGAAGTGCTGCTAAATGGGATTGTGAAGATCTCAACAGCAGCATGAGGGAATGATCTTGAATATAAAAAGATCAGCAGACTCACTGGTTTCTTAGGTGGGTTGAAGTCTATATTATAGACCCTGCCGCTGGGAAGGTGCACCCAGCGAGACGTCAGACGCTCTCGGATCGTCTGGAAAGGCACGTCCAGGTTTATAACAGAGTCCACATCGTACACGCTGTCCAGGGCCTCGGCCTGAGCCACAGTACGAGGAAACCCTGTGGGGACAGGGCGAGCACATTTAAACTGCACATTTCATCAGTAACATGGCTCAGGTGAGCGGGGTGAGAGTTACCGTCCAGTAGCCAGCTGCTCTGCTGCAGACCCCTCAGACTGGACAGGATGAGACGAGAGATGACATCATCGGGAACCAGCTGACCCTGATCGATGCACGACTTCATCAGGAGACCCAAATCTGCCCAGGTGCACGAGAGATGCTCAGTTATTCAATGATGACAGAAGGAATTCAGAAATGAATACAGTCAGTATGTATCCAATTCAGTGAACATTATTTAAATGTGTTATAAATAGCTAATACAATTGTTTACAGGGATATGATGCATCTGCCAATCATCATTAAAAAAAACATTTTGGTGTTAATTTTATTATTTGAAATACTGCCAAACGTATCAGTGATGAACATTTAATTCAATTCATTAGTTCAAATATGAAGGCTGTCAGGTTTAACATTAACATTATAGAATCATGTGACCTTTAGCTTAGCTATTAACTATTAAAACTCCAATGAAATTAAGTGTGACTGCTACAATGAGCTTGTACTAACTTATATAAGCAGCTCTACACATTGTACTAACTTTTGAATAATCGCCCTGTGACCCATTGTGACATTTCTGTGTAGTGCTAAAGATTTTAGGCCTATAATGCTAAGATTTGGAATTTGAATTTTTTTTAAAGA